ATTTCCAAAAGTCTGTGTTACTATGATAAAGTTATTTACATCCGATGACCCAGAACTCAGGGAAAAGGGGCTGTTAACAGACCAGACAATTGGAGAAAGTTTTTATGTAATTCCAATTTACACAAATTGACCTTTGCTTATGTTTACAGACAAAGAACAAGAAGCTTTGATATCAACTCTCCAGGAAAATAACTTGTAATGGCAAAGCATGTGATCACAAAGAGCTCAAAAGGTATTACAGCGTTCATTGAATCCTCAGAATGTCTGTGGAGGCAGTATAATTTGTTTAGCTGAGTTGTAAATAAAGTGGCAAAGCTTTTATTACTTTAATTCATCTCTTTGTCTTTTGTTCTCTCTCTCTCAGCAAACCACATGAGATAAAGAGCTGCAGTAGACATAGTCTAGAGCCTGGTCTCTTGGCTGGTCCTGCTGTTGGGGGCTTATGTTCTCCAGACAGAGACTGCCAGGAAGAGTAGGTACCAGGTAGTGCCTGAATTCCATAGGTGCCAGAACATGGCACAGCCACTGTCAGGCTTCAGCTGTGTCCTGGAGAAGGGCTGGGGACCCTGGTATTATCCACCTCACTTGCACAACCAAACGGCCCTCCAAACTCTATTAGATCCTGGTCTTGGAACCTAAGTGAAGCTAACAATCATAGTCTTTATACCTTGGGTCTATCTCTCTTCATTTCTGAAAATGTCACAAACAAGGAAAGTTCTGCTGAATTTCATGAGGTTGTGAGGGTTTTTTGTTGCCTGACACAGTTTCATGGGAGCCATGACCTGTGAATGTTCCACTTGTTCCCTCCATCCCCATCACGTCTTCTCTGGGGTTAAATGAGTTTAACCTCAAATTTATGTGCCAGCAAGTGGAGAAGGCAATTTAATTGTCATTGAGCACCTACCGTTTACCTTTAACTTTACTACAACACGGACTCATTTAACTTTTACAACAACCACGATATATATTTTATTCCCATCTTATGAGCAAGGGGGTCCTGGGAAGTTAAATAACTTTCCCAAAGTTTTAGAGCTAATAAATGCCAGAGACAGAATTTTAGGCTAGGTCTAAAGTTCTGGCAATTTTGATGGCCATATACCCCAAAGAGGGAAGGATAGGCCAGTCAATTCTCTTTCCTCTTCTACCCACCACTGTCTTTGCTAAAGGGCTGAGGAATTGTTTGGAGGTGGGAGATTCCTCCCCAGTGTTCCATGGTCCTAAAGCCTCACTCCTAAGACCCAGGTCCTCCACCAAGAGTTGTCAGATTTCGCGCTGGGACCCAGGCCTGGGGCTATATCCTGGGCAGGGCTGGAGGCAGGGAACTTCACAGCCACTATCACAGTTCTCAGCAGCCAGCTGTCCTTCGGTGTCCTTAGGGTTGGAATCAGTCAGTCTTGCAGCAGTTCCTTAACTAAATCTCTCTCAGGGACCATCAAATCTCCAAGAAGCAGGATGGTGGGAGAACCACATACCCAAACCCACTGCTGCACTTTATCCCCTGACAGGCTGGACCCCGTGAGGAAAATCAATGGCAGAGTGACCTCCAGCTAAGGCCTGTACTCTGTTCACTTTCCCCAGGGGGCAGGGCAGTCTCAGCTTGCTCTACACCAGTCTCTCATGGGCTCCTCTGGAGTGGGAATCACTGTTGCAGGACTCCCCACAATCACAGGAGACCAGGAGAGGTTAGGGATTTCTACCCTTTCAGAGGAGAGGGGTGATAAAGTTGGCAGAGATCCCCAAATTTCTCAGCTTCAGCTAGCCTCAGAGGCTCTGCAGGGGACTTGCCCACTGATATAGGCTCTCTTGATTTTGGATCAAATCAGAAGAATTACTGTTTGTGAGGCAAAAACAAGCCACAGAACTTAATCCAAAGAGCAAGGTATCATCAGTTAAAGCTGGGGCAAGGGCAAAGCAGCTGGGTGTAGGAAGTGTGTGGACTTCTGGTTAGAAGACAGGTTTGAACCCTGTCTAAAGGATGAAGACCGTTTATGGAACTAGTCAAAGGCTATTGATTCACCTTTCCTCTGGAAGCTGGCTTCAGTAAAACATAAAAACTGAATTTGGTTTTCCCTGTTTGAAAATGTGGAGGGATCACAATAAAGTGTCTTTCCAGGCTCAGAAGGCTTCTAGATTCACCCTGGTTGATAATGGTATTTAGTCACTTGGCCTGCACACCCAGATTCCTCTGTGGTGGTGGTGTTTGCAGTTTGGTTTTGTTGTTATAGGATATGGGAGGCAGTGATTCATGAGAAAGAAGACTTGTAAGAAATCTCTCATATCATGGCATCATAATCATAATACTGATGATTTAGCCCCCATGTGTGAGTGGTTCTTTATTGGGCAGCATACTTAACCCATTAAATGGAAAGAAGCCCTGCCTTCTTGAAGCTTCCAGTCTGAATTAAGGTGGTTCTTACATGCAAAGCAGACAGATATACAACCTAGTGCAAAAGCACCAAAAGGTTATCCCTTCGGAGTAACTATGTCATTAACACTGTGAGCCTGTGGACAGGCAAGCAAAGAATGATCCATGGTGTGCCCTGACATTCCTAGCTCAAAGTCAGGCTATAATAGGGTCCTTGGCCAGCCCAGCAGCCAATCCTCTCTCTGATGGGTGTGAATGGAGGAAAGAGGGAGAGATTCTTGAATAGAGAATTAATGAATAAAAATTTCACAATGACTTTTCTTGTCCACATCCCAGCTTTATAGATGAGGAAACTGAGGCTCAGGTAGCTTGGCCAAGGTCATGTATCTTATAAAAAGTTATATCACATCTTTCTGCTCTGTCATATATGTCCATTACACCAAATTACAATCTGCATCCGATCCCTGCTAATGTTCTGATTCTGACAGCAGGGGAGCAGGGGAGATAATCCTTCTTCTCGACAGAAATCTCAAAGGTTAAACATGTCCTCAAACTAATTTCTATTAGTAGAATATCAAGGATCTGACATGCATTCATTCATCCCAAATGATCTGGAATCTATGTATATTTTGGAAACACCTTTTAGTGTTACCATTTTCATAAGTTGAATACATTATATAAAGTCATTTCTTCATTTATTGGAATGTTGATTTTTAACCCAAATTTCTTGATCTGACATTCTGGCAATACTGAAGCATTAATAGTCAATAAGGCTCCACAAGCTACTTCTCTAAGTAACAAATTTGCATTTTAATCTGTACCTTAAATGGCTGAACTCCAAAGTGTGACTAATGGATAATAATTTCAGATCTCACAGTAGGTTAGTAGAGATGTAATTCTTTTAGTGGAGGAAATGTGTGTGTGTGTGTGTGTGTGTGTGTGTGTGTGTATCAAATTTTATCATGTAAATGATTAACCTATAGGTAAAGCCAGTCTTGAGCTAAAATAAGGAATTCTGGGAAATTTCATATGCAAATCATGCTCATGCTTATGCTCATTTTTTGATGTTAGAGACAACATCCAACTGGAACAGCACTGCTGTCCCTCTGACCAATTCCTGGAACTACAGAGGAGCAACTTTTCCCTGGTCTTGGGCAGTGGCATCCACCCTCGGCTACACGCTCTGATCACAAGTGCAGAGCATCATACTCCCATGGAGGAGAATTTCCTGTGGTGTAAGAAGATCTTACAGAATGAATCCTCAGAGACCTCTGCTGAGCTTTACCAGGTTGTTTCCTGTTTTATGTTTCAGAAGGAGCCAGAGAGGTCAGATGGAACACTGGCCCCAAATACATGAAGTTGCCCTTTTGAGTGACAGCACTTACTTCAGAACCAGCTGCTAAGTGCCCCATCCCTCCATAAAATCACAGCTGATCCAGGGAGGTGATAGCTCACATCATTCTACTGAAAGCGAATGTGCCTCTGGGTGGAATCTAAGTGGAATTGCGACTTACTCCACTGAGAATGAAGTGGAAGATATTACAAATTCATATGTGGGGGAGTCTTCTTTTTTGGGACACTCATCATTGTTAGAAAGAATGTAGCTAAGAAAAGGCAGTCCTAAGCCTGGACTGTTGAGGAGGTAGACATTTGGAAGAGATCTTTGCCATCGTTGTTTACTGGGCCCTTTGCCCACCATCACTCCCCATATTCTCTGGTGGTCTTATATTTGGAGAATGAATTGATTGGGCCCTTCAGGGAGCCATGAGCACGTATGAGCTGAAACAGGGCAGGGTCGGTTGGAAGTCATTTATTTGGATCTTGCTAGCTGAAGGTTATATGTAAGAAGAAACTTTCACAATGTCCTATGCTAGTGCTTTTCAAATTTATTTCCATCTGAGATCTATTTTGGCTAGGCAAATACCCCACAGGCCTCTATCTCTTCAGCTCTTTCTTACAAATATAAAGTAAGCTCATTGGAATGAATAAAGAGAATGGTATTGCTTTGGCTCAAACACTAATGAGCACTTACTTTGTCATAGTGTAAATATTAAAGTTATAAGAGAGAGCCCAGGGACCAACTAATTATTTTAAAGGTCCAAAGTACTTGCAGAGTGTCTAAAATTCTACTTGAAGAACTATGTCCCCATTTAGTGTTGACACTCTTGAGTTCACTAAACCCAAAGTCTCTGTTGCCTCCAGGGACCAACCAGGGGGAGCTCCTCCTAGAACCATGGATGTTAGAGCTAGAAATCTTAATCTTTTTTTTTTTAATTTTATTGTTTAAGGTATTACAAATAGTAGTACATATGTCTCTTCTCCCCCGCCCCCCAACTAACCTTCCCCTGGTCCCCCCACCCCCAGTGTCTTCAGTCTGTTGGTTGTACTTATATGCATGCATATAAGTTCTTCTGTTGGTCTCTTATCCCCCCTCCCCCACCTTCCCACTGGTCTGCATTATTTTATAGGTGTGAAACTGAGGCCAGCAAGTGCAAAGATCTCATAATTAGCTCTGGAGGGTCATGATTAAAAGGCAAATTTTCTGCCTGCCAGTAGGGTCTTCTCACTATTTTTCTGGGGAAAAGAATTGTTGAACAACGAATTTTTGATCACCAAGACAGGAACATTTTCACAGTTTTTAGGGTGTTTTTATTTCCAAAGAGCATTGTAGTGATCTCTTCTTGTTTTTCCTGTTTATTTATTTATTTATTTTAGGGAGGAGAGAGTATTTACCTAGCAGTAGATTTGTTCCAGGGGATGCTTGCTTATAGAAATGTTTGCAAATTATTCCATTTTGCTATGAAATAATTGGTAAAACAATTCTTCATTGGCCTTTTTTTTTATTTATTTATTTTTTTTTGGAAGGCAGGAACCCAAGATGAATGTTTATGGCTCTATGCCTTGCTAATCTTTCAACTCCCCTCATTGTAATGCTCATGACCTGGCAGAGCACTTGGTGTAAATAGTCACTCAGAGTGATTGAATTCAGTTGAGTTTTTTGGGGACAGTGGCCAAACATGATTCTGCAGTCATTTAGATTGCTCCCTCTGTCCCCTAGCAGTAGACATCTTTTCTGCCTTGTCCTTTGTTTAGAAACAAAGCATTACTTTTATTTAAAAATGGCTCAATAGACTATATAGCTTGAATTGTTGAACAAAAGGAATATAGAGCTTTACTTGATGTTTAAAACAGATTCAGAAAAAAACCTCGGAAGTAAAGGTTGTTCTAATTTACATAGTAGGCAGTAGACTTTAGGAATTTCTTAATATGGGGTTGGTATACATAAATATGTGTTCTAGTGAGATTTGAGCAAATTTATGTTAGACAACCAACATTAAGGGAAACTAGGAATATTTTAAGTGCTTATAATTTAGTATTTAAAAGGTGGTTTTATTAGATTATCTTTCTCATTATATGGGTTCATGGAAGGTAAAATTATAATTACATCTTATATAATAAAGAGCTAATATGCTAACGGTCATGGCGCCCTCATGCCGTAATGACCATTCAACAGGAGGCTCTGTGTGCAGTTGGGCGGAGCCACCGTGTTGCTCCGGAGATGGGGGCAGAAAGGGAGAGGTGCCCAGAGGAGGCAGGATCATCCTGTGGTGGGGAAGGTGGGGGTGAGAGCTCATAGCACCCCCTTCACCAGTCCTTTGCCACCCACCACTCACACTGCCCACCTGCCAGGGGAAGGAGTACAGTGTGCACGCTGCCAGAAAGCGGTGCTTGAAACTCCACAGCAGGCGGAGGCTTCCATACTCTCCTCCAGCACCAAGATGGGGCCTAAGTGAGGAGACGCCTGGAGGAGGCAGGACCAGTCCCACGCAACTAGCAGAACTAAGGATAGGGCTTGAAGTGGTCAGAGAAGGTCGGAGGGGTCAGGGGCAGGGCCAGCATGCTCGAGCTCTGGGTGAAGAGGTTAGGGTGTCAAGGCAGAGTGGTGGGGCACGTGTGGGTGGGCAAGGCCACACAATTTCACATGCTGGGCCTCTAGTCCTATCTACCGTATTTTCCGGCGTATTAGACGACCCCCTAATTTTACAGTTAAAACATAGGTTTAGGCCTATATTCGCTGTATAAGACTACCCCCTACTTCCGAGGCAACACCAGTTATTTTTTTAATAGACCGCCTCTCTGACTCTGGCTAATCTGAGCAGGCTTTTTACTAGAACACAATGTAGCTTCAGGTACAGAACATGTATAATTTGCATGCATAAAAAGCCTGCTCAGATTGGCCAGAGTCAGAGAGGTGGTCTATTAAAAAAAGAACTGGTGTTGCCTCGGAAGTGGGGGGTAGTCTTATACAGCGAATATAGGCCTAAACCTATGTTTTAACTGTAAAAATTAGGGGGTCGTCTTATACGCCAGAAAATACGGTAATAAAAGAGTAATATGCAAGTTAACCACCACTCCCCTACACCCACAAGCCATGCCCACTAGCCAATCAAGAGCGAGTATGCAGGTTAACCGGACCAAGATGGCTGCAGCCATGGATGGAGCAAGAGGCTTGGGTTTCCCCAGCAATGGAGGAAGCCAAGCTTTCTGCACACCCTGGCTGGCCCAGGCCTCTGCTAGAGGCTACAAAGTTTCAATTATAGAAGATAAATAAATCCCCCCAAAAATGGCTGTGAACATGGAGCAAGCAGGAGGCTTGGGTTTCCCCCAGGATGGAAGAAGTCAAGCTCTCCCCTGGCCCTGGCCTGCCCTAGCTTCCACTCAAGGCTACAAAGTTTCAATTATAGAAGATAAATGAATCTAAGATACCAGGGCCTCCACTTGGGTTGATGGGAGGTGTGGCTGGCCTGCAAACTACCCCTCACCCAGGCCACCCCATGCCCCAAGAAAACCCCCACCCTGATTCGGGACACCCTTCAGGGCAAACCAGCTGGTCTCCATCCATGCACCAGGCCTCTATCCTATCTAATCCTATCTAATAAAAGAGTAATATGCAAATTGGAGTGATGACTCCAATACACAAGATGGCTACCCCCATGTGGTCAAAAATGGCTGCCCCCCTGTGAACACAAGATGGCCACCACAAGATGACCAGAAGGGGAAGGAAGTTGGGAGGGACCAGGCCTGCAAGGCAGGGCAGTTGGGGATGATCAACCTTGCAGGGAAGGGAAGTTAGGGGTGACCAGGTCGGCAGAGGAAGGAAGTTGGGGGCGACCAAGCATGCAGGGAAGGGCAGTTGGGGCGAGGGGGCCCAAGCCTGCAGAGGAGAGCAGTTGGGGGGGGGGGGGGATCAGGCCTGTAGAAGAGGGCAGTAAGGGTTGACCAGGCCTGCAGGGGAGGGCAGTTAGGGGCAAACAGGTTGGCAGGGGAGCAGTTAGATATCAATCAGGCTGGCAGGGGAGTGGTTAGGGGATGATTAGGCTAACAGTCAGAAGCAGTTAGGGGCAATCAGGAAGGTAGGCAGATGAGCAGCTGGGAGCCAGCAGTCTTAGATTGTGAGAGGGATGTCAAACTGTCCGTTTAGGCATTGATCCTAAAAGGGCAGTTGGACATTCCTCGATGGGTCCCAGATTGGAGAATGTGCAGGCTGGGCTGAGGGACACCCTCCCCCCCAGTGCACGAATTGTGTGCATTGGGCCTCTAGTATTATTATAAAAAAGAAGGACATGACCCATGATTCCACTACCAAGCTATAATAACTGTATCATTTTGTTATATTTCCTTTCAGTCTTTAGTCTTAAGTATATATATATTTTTTGTTGTGACCATATTGTATACTACATTTTGTTATTCATTTATCTTAGAGCAAGATTTTTCCCCCATAGATGATTTAAAATTCTTCAAAATATAATTTTTGATAGTGATTGTTTCATAAAAAATCTATATTATTTGATATGAAAGTTATTTTCAATTACTTTTTAATTTTAAATGTGATTCAATTTTTTCCCCAAATATTCATTAACAATTTATATGTAATTTTTGTATTTTATTTTTGCTCTATATTTATCAGGCAAATGTTTTCCTTATTCATGTATATAAACTCTTTATATATTAAATATATTAACATTTGACTGTCATACAACTCATGTACTTTTTAAAAACTAACTTATTATTAAAAATCTTTTCATTAAATCATTTTTGGACATTAAAATCTTTTAGCTTTATGTACTAAAATTTATGTAGACATATATGCATTTTTATATCTGGTAATATTGCTACTGTCTTTACACTTAGAAATTTCTATTCTGTTTCAGATGGAAGGAACAACAAATAATACCTTGTTTCCCTGAAAATAAGACAGTGTGTTATATTAATTTTTGCTCCCAAAGATGGGCTAGGTAGGTCTTATTTTCAGGGGATGTCTTATTTTTCCATGAAGAAGAACACGGTACATATTTATTGTTAAATGAAAATAAAGGGAATTTATTACCTGTATATGTTACGGTAGTATGGTAGTTGTCAACACAAACCAGACAAACTGTGAATCCTACAGTATCAAGAATTTACTCATTTATTCAATGACAATCATATCATCAAGTTCTGGAACATCATTATAACAATCCAATTCTTGAATTTCCTGGTGAATTTCTTGTAACTCCATTTCTTTCAGAATCAGTGGACCAAATCTCTCATGTTTAGCCTGGGGGTGGGGGGGGCTTATTTTGGGGGGATACCTCATATTTCACTCAGAAGGAAACCTGTAAGTAGGTCTTATTTTCGGAGGATATCTTATTTTCTGGGAAACATGGTAGAAGCATGGTGTGCATTGGGAGGAAGACGTGGTTAAGGCTTGGATTAAAGGTGGGTTGTATTAGCTGCTTCAATAGCAGGTGTCTTTTTGCTGCTAATATGCTGCAGGAACTCCTGCTGGATATAACATATAGTACCATTTCCCCCAGTGTGATAAGGCTTCTCATGGGATTGAGAAGGTAGAGAGACTATAGGTTAATAGGAAGACACTGAAAATCTGCCCAAGTAAATTCATGTACAAAGGGAGGAGACACAAGAAAAATGATTGAGTTTCAACTCTGCTCTAACATGATATCTCTAAGGAAATAATAATCTACAGGAGAAATGTAGTGAGCACATTTTGATTTATGAGAATTTCTGTAAGAGATATGGATTAGTTTTGTGCTATTATTTTTTACAGTCATGTAAAGATAATTTCAAATTGCTTTGCCTTTTTATATTAGCATTCATTAAGAGTTGGTACCAGAGCTTGTGCTGAAAATTGTATACCCAAATACATAGCTTTTAAACAGATATTAGCTGTAATTCAGTGCTACAAAGAAAGCCAGATAACTGCCTTCACATATCTTACCATTAAAGACAAGCAATTGCTTAATATCTATATATATATAAAAGGCTAATATGCTGAGTATCCCTATGTCCATCCAACCAGTCACTATCATGTGCACTGACCACCAGAGAGCTGCTGAGCTGTAGTGACTTGGCAGTGGTGGTTTTCAGGTGACACACCCTGAAACCAAATAGGAGGGAGCCCAATTCCTCATGGGGCTGCACAATTCCACCTTCAGCTATGGGTTATGGTGTTGCTAGGGCATTGTAGGCCTCAAATTTGGTTTACTGCACACTTGCATTTGTGTTCCACACCCTATATGACAGCAATTTTGCAGAGTGCATTGGAGGATGTCGGAAAACTAGTTTTGGCCCAATTCCTACAGGCCAGGCCAAGGGAACCCACCTGCTGGAGGGACCCCACTCACTCCTCAGACTCTGGGGAGGGACCATGGAAGGTTGGCTTCAGGTGCATTTCTGGCCTAACTCATCATTCCCACCCCACCAGCCACCTTCTAATTAATTTACTTTCAATGTGCACAAATCTATGCACCAGGTCACTAGTTATAGATAATGCTAAGAAAATAAAGAGTGGCATTTACACAGAAATATACTATAAAATTGTAGATATATATGCTCGGTAAACCAATTTCTCATTTTCCCCCTAGGGGGACAATCAGCCTTGAATTATGCAAAACTGTAGAAATTTGAATTTCTTATAAAATGCAACTGACTCATGGTGAGGCTTGTCTTAATAGTGATCTTAGAAGCTAATACTATCATAAGACTCCAATGTCCTCCTCTACTTGTTTAGTAATATTTTCACTAAATGAAGGTTAAATAAAATAAAGGTCAGGCAATTTGAATAGAAAACAATTATAGGAAAACGGAATCATCACAAGTTAGAGGCTATAAGCATGTGAAACACAATGTATGATCAATATTGTATTCACCATTCACATGGCTATATTGTGTAGAGTTCATCTTTTGAATAAACCATTTAGCTACAGTTGATTAGCAATAGGTATAATAGTAGTTATGTAATAAAAAAAAGTTTCATTAAAGGGGAAAAAGAGAAACATCTGCTAGAATGTCAACATTAAAACTTTTTAATAAAAATGTTTAAGTTTTTCTTTCAATAATTTACTGTTGATGCATCATAAATTGATTGGCCCATCAAGGGATTGGATTAACAATTCAATATGAATTTATTTTTGAACAAAAGAAAAATAACATTGATGAAAACTATGCATAAAATCAGAAGATCAAGTTGATAAGTAGAACCCAACATCACATATATATTTTTCATATACTCAGTTCAAAATAATGATTAAGTTTCAGCAAAACTTGATTTATTATGTTGAATTAAAATCATTAAAGTTTTATTAGTTTTGAAGTTTTTGTGCATGTTTAACTTGTATTTTCTTTATAGTTGATAAAAGATACTAAGCATGTAGCATTTAAACGCCATTAATGTTTCTGTATGTTAAAAGTAATGTAGTTAATGCTAGGGGTTCATAAAATGTATTTGTTTTTTAAAGGAGATGCATCTGACGCAAGCCAAAAGGCATTGCTGTGGTGCTGGGAACTCTGAATTTCTATTGCAGACAGTTTCCCTGCTCTGTTCTTGGCTCTATCGAGGCGGCTGAGTCATTGGCTGGGAGTGTGGCTGAGACCTAGGTTATAGAATTTAGGGACAGGAGGCAGGTGGTGGGGAGCATGTGTAGTCACTGCAGTGAGATAAATGGCTGAGAGTTTGATTTGGGAATCATGTGCAAGAAGAGGCAAACATATTTAGGGAGCTGCATTATGAATCATTCTCCTCCTCCTCCTGCCCCACACCTTTCTCTTTCTCTCACTCTTTCTCTCTCTCTTATTTAATAAGTCCTGCCTGAGCCACTGAAAGGCAAGCACTGTCTGTGTAAAACAGTTCAGAATAAAGTTTTCTGCATTTTAGAATTGATGAGGCCTGGGGATTCTGTTCACTCTCCTATTAGTATCCCCATTCCAAAAACCAAGTTGATACAAGAAATGAGCCTTTTGTTCATCATATCCTATAGTGCTGCTTTTAGTTTCACTGCCTCCAAAAGGGCTTCCAGTTGATACAGATCAACATTCTGTTATTTGAGAGGAACATTCCCTGTGTGCCCTGACTGCTGCCTTCAAATCTCCCAAAGATTGTGACTCAGCTCCAGTGACAAGACCACAGATCAGCCTCCAGACACTTCTCTCTGCATTCTTTCTGCCCATACTTACTGCTTCTAGCTCTGGGATAAGGACAAGCACTTTAGGAGTACTGGATCACACTGATCGATCTGGGTTAGCAGATAACTGTGTTTCCCAGAATCGCCTTCTATGAATAGTTATGCCTTAGAGCTGACCACAGGTTGAAATTGCACACGTTTTGGAAGGCAGAAGAGAAGCAGTAGCAAGCCCACTTAGAAGGCCACTGTGGTCAGGCACTGTGACAGATGCAGAGATACCAGCAGGTCCCACATTGTCCTTGCTCTCTTCCACTCTGTGCCCAGCCAATCTTTCTGACTCTTGGCCCTGCTGACCGACAGTGACCCAGGCCTATCACCAGATGTTCGACTGAAGGGGTAGCTTCATAGATGTAACTCCACACACTACTCAATGAACCCTTTTCACAGTTCCAGTTCAGTGGCTGAAAGTGCTTGGGTTCTTGGATTTTCCTCTAAGTCCCAACTTGTCTGTCTCTCTGTGCTACTGCTTTAGGCAGACAGGCTAATGACCTTTTTCTGATCCTCTGATTCCCTCTTCCAGTCCTTCCGTTCTCCAGCTCCTTCTGCATTTGTAAAGTCGGTTTTCAGAAATAAGTCCTCAGCCCTTTATTCATAGTGGTTCTGCTAACCTGGCTGATCCTTAAGTGATACCATTATTGGTTTTGAACTGATCCAGAAGAACATAACCTTAAGGATGGGAAATTGGTATTAAGTCTCTGACTAGGCATTAGTGATCCCATTGCCACTAAATAATTTATTGTAGAATGCCCAGTTAGTGTGGTTCAAGTTGAACACTGACCTATGAATTGGCTCGATTCCTGGTCAGGGCACATGCCAGTGTTTCGAGCCTGATCCCCAGAAGGAGGTGTGCAGGAGGCAGCTGATTAAGAATTCTATCATTATTGATATTTCTACCTCTCCCTTCTTCTCTGAAATCAATAAAAATATATTTTAAAAAGGTATAAGGAGTGTGTGTGGCTTTTAAGTGCCACAAGGGAAATTAGAGGAAGGAAATAATGAACTCAGGGCAATACATTCTCAGCCTGAGGTCCAGGCAAGGAACTGGGAAGTTTCTGTGACTTCCCTGAAGAAATCCTTCTTTCTTGTGGCTGTCAGTCTGATATTTCTGAAAACCAAACCTGAAGACTAGTTGGATCACTAGTCCCATGGGTTACTGGATTATAATATCAATTTAATTCAAGATCTGTTATGGTTAAAATTAGGGCATTGATTGTGGCAAATTAGGGCCCTGAAAATTGAGATGGCAACAAATGGGCAGATTCTGATGAAACTGAGGCCCTTGAAGCCCCTCACAGTTCCAGTTCAGTGGCTGAAAGTGCTTGGGTTCTTGGATTTTCCTCTAAGTCCCAACTTGTCTGTCTCTCTATGCTACTGCTTTAGGCAGACAGGCTAATGACCTTTTTCTGATCCTCTGATTCCCTCTTCCAGTCCTTCCGTTCTCCAGCTCCTTCTGCATTTGTAAAGTCTGTTTTCAGAAATAAGTCCTCAGCCCCTTATTCATAGTGGTTCTGCTAACCTGGCTGATCCTTTGCCACCAACAGGAGCTGACTGAAGAATTTAGTCCCTTTTTGCTTGAAGAACCCATGACAACATCTCCCGCAGGGAAATATTGAGACTCCTCAAGACACACTTCCAATACCTTTTATTGCTTCTATATCTATAACCAGACTCAAGTTCTGGCCGGCCCTATCAGGCATGAATAAAATAATGAGGTATCATACATGCCAAAAGAACTGCAAAATTTTAAAAAATTATGTCACCAGAAGTTTGTATTGTAAGTTTTCTTTCTTCCCTTTCCTTTCCCCAAAAAACCTTCAGGCATTTACAAAAAAAAAGTATATATATATATATATATCCTATCTAATAATAGAGTAATATGCAAATTAACTGTCCCTCCATGACAAAATGGCAGCCCCCATAGCCACAAGATGGTCCCCTCAGCTCTGCTGCGGGAGTGTCCGGCCTGTCTGCAGGAGCAGCAAGTCTGGATTCACCTCCAGAGGGGTTTTTGATCTGCCCCCAGACACGGCAGTCAGAGCCTGGACAGCAGGGCATGGAGGCTTCCTTAGCAAGGTGGCAGCAGGGGAAGCCCCAGGCCCAGCAGACAGAGGCCAGACAGCAGGGCTTGGGGATTTCCTTAGTGCTGTGGCGAAGGGAGCACCCTTAGGCCCAGCAGACAGAGCCCAGACAGTGGGGCTTGGAGGCTTCCTTAGCACAGAGGCAGCAGGAACACCCCCAGGCCACACAGAGCCAGGACAACAGGGCATGGGGACTTCCTTAGTGTGTCGGTGTAGGTGAAGCCCCCAGGCCTGGCAGACAGAGCACACTGCAGGGCATTGGGGTTTCCTTCGCATGGCACGTGGCAGCAGCAGGCAGAGAATGGACAGCAGGGCATGGGGCCTTCATCTCCATGGCTGCAGCGAAACCTCTAGGCCCACAGAGAGCAGAGAACCACAGGGAGTGGGCCTAAGCCATCAGTAGGACATCCCCTGAGAGCTCCTGAATTGTAGAGGGTGCAGGCTGGGCTGAGGGACCCCTGTGCACGAATTTCATGCACCAGGCCTCTAATAAAACTGGGGAAGGGAAAATAACCAGACTTTTGGAGAATTTCTGGACACTGGCTCTGAAATGATAGTAAATCATGGAAACCCAATTGGTACTCTTGTCTAATTATCAGAATAGGAGTTTATATTTATTATCATCATTTTCTTTTTACTATGTGCAGGCGACATTCTCTTTATTATATTTAAAATTATTAATATGTTTTTATGGTTTAAATATCAAAATGCTATAAAGAGGAAAGGATCAATAATCTTGCTTTAACCATTCTTCCCATTTGTCCCCACTCATTATCTTCAAGTAAACATTTTTATTCTTTTTTAAAAACCTGCCCAATGTTTCTTTCTACAAATAAAAAGCAATATGATTATATGCTCCTTTTCTCTTTTTCTCACATAAAAATGTAGCATACTATATATACAGTATTACAACATTTCCCCCCCCTTTTCCTTCATATATCCCAAGACTTTTCTATAACTAAACAGAACCATCTTCTTCATTGCATAGAATAGGAGTTTATTGAGGTCAAATGATTAATGGTATTTTGGCTCAGATCCATCTCACAGTGTATTCAGTGGGGCTCTGAGTCCACCTCATGGTTATTTCCCAAGTTTTAGAATCCCTAATGGAAAGGACACACTCAGCAAATGGCAAGGCTATCTGATCTCAGTGGAGTGAAGACAAGTAGAAAACATTAGAAGTGCCTCTGTATCCCAAAATAGTAAATACAAAGTAATACTGAATTCCTAGAGAAACGGTAGAGATTAGTGCCTCCATAAAGGACTTAGAAGATGCAAGGTTGTTGATTTTCAACATATCTTCGTTCAACTCATCTATTTGGCCTGAGCAGAATCTAGATGGATCTTGAAAAGTGACAAAGGTTTATTGTAAATTTAATCAGGTAGTGAATACAATTGCAACAGCTCTTTCAGATGTAGCTTCATTGTAGGAGTAAATCAAGAAATCTCTTGACATTTGATTTGGGTATTAATATGGAAAATCATTTTTTCCCCTCTCTTTAAGTCTCATAAGTTACACAGCATTACTTCTTCTGCATTCTGCTGGTTACAAATCAAGTCACACAGACAGTCCAGACTCAAGGGAAGGGGACCACACAAGAATCTGAATACTGAGTTGCACGGTTCATTGAAAAGCCATCTTTGAAT